CGCTCCCTCATCACCAGCAACCATTGTGGAAAAGGCTGGATCAGAAACGCTTTATAAAACATGCAAAGATTTTTTTTGCTCCAATTCATCTGAAGTTCCCTTTATTATGTTATTAGTTATGGCCAGATGAACAATTCTGAGATTCTTTCCTATTTCAATTTGTGTAAGAGCCCTTGTGATGTGTGTGTGTGTGTGTGTGTGTGTACTTGAATGCATGACTATAATACATAATGGTCAACAGATAGAAAGCAGTATTCTTCTCCCACTGTCCCCTTCCCATAAAAAGAAAAACGTTTTGGAAATGTAACCTCGTTTTTTTCTTTTAATTAAATTTTTTATTTTGAGATAATTGTAGGTCCACCTGCAGTTGTAAGAAATAATCCAGAGAGATCTCATATGCTTTTCATCCAGTTTGCCCCAGTGATAACATCTTGCATGAATAGAAACAATGTTACAACCAGGAAACTGATGTTGATACAATACACTGAACTTATTCATATTTTACCAGTTTTATGTGCATTCATTTGTGTGTATTTAATGCTATGCAATTTTATCATGTGTACATTCGTGTAACCAGAAGCACAGTTGAGATAGAGAATGCTCCCATCGCTTCAAGAACCTCTTATGCCATCCTTTCACAGCCATACTCATCTCCCTCTAGTCCCTGCCCTTCTCCCCTCCCCAATCCAACCCTTGGGGATGACTAGTCTATTCTCCATCTCTATAATTCTGTCATTTCAGGAATGTTATAGAAATGGAATCATATAGTATATAACCTTTTGGTATTGTCATAATTCCCTTAAGGCCCATTCAAGTTGTTACATTTAATCAGTAGTTCATTCCTTTTGAGAGCTGAGTAGTATTCCATGGTAAGAATGTACCACAGTTTGTTTAACCATTCACCTGTTGAAGGATATTTGCATTATTTCCAATTTTTGGCTATCACAAGTAAAGCTGTTATGAATATACATGTAGATGTTTTTGTGTGAACTTCAGTTTTCATCTTTCTGGGATAAATGGCCAGGAGTTCAATTACTGGGCTGTATAGTAAGTGGCTGTACTACTCTAGAATTTTATATTCCCACTAGTAATGTATGAGTGATCTTGTTTTTCTACATCCTTGCCAGCATGTGGTGTTATTGCTGTTTTTCACTTGAGCCATTCTGCCATGTGTGTAGTGATATCTCATCATTTTAATTTGCATTTTGTAATGATTGATGATATTGGACATCTTTTCATGTGCTTATCTGCCATCTGTATTTCTTCTTCAGTGAAATGTCTGTTCATGTCTTTTGCCCATTTTTTTTTCACTGTTTTTGAGAGGTTTTTTTGGCATAATTTAGACACAGGTCCTTTGTTGAATATGTGGTTTGCAAATATTTTCTCCCAGTCTGTAGTTTGTCTTTTCATCCTCTTAACAGCATCTTTTTTAGAGCGAAAGCTTTTAATCTGGTTTTTTTGAGATGGAGTCTTGCTCTGTTACCAGGTTGGAGTGCAGTGGCATGATCTTGGCTCACTGCAACCTCCGCCTCCCAGGTTCAAGCGATTCTTTTGCCTCAGCCTCTCGAGTAGCTGGGACTACAGGCATGTGCCACCATGCCCAGCTAATTTTTGTATTTTTAGTAGAGACGGGGTTTCACCATGTTGGCCAGGATGGTCTTGATCTCTTGACCTCAGGTGATCTGCCCACCTTGGCCTCCCAAAGTGCTGGGATTACAGGTGTAAGCCACTGCGCCTGGCCTTAATCTTGTTTTAAGGATTATATTTTTGATATCAGGTCTAAAAACTCCTTGTCTATCCCGATATCACAAATATTTTATCCTATGTGTTTTTCTAAAAGTATTACAGTTTTATGTCACACATTTGCATCCATGATTCATTTTGAGTTAATTTTTGTATAAAGTGTGAGGTTCAGGTTCACTGGGGAGCAGGGAGCGGTGGATATGAACATCTAAGTGTTCTAGCAGCATTTGTTGAAAGGCTATTCTTTCAAAGCAATCTATTGAATTGCTTCTGCACCTTTGCCAAAAATTAGTAGGGCATGTTTGTGTAGGCCTACTTCTGTCTTGAGATAATCACAAAAAAAGTAGAGGAAAATGACAAAGCCTTAAGCAGTTAGAGAGATGCTAATAAATATGAAGGACAGATAAAGTCATTCAGCATAAGAAGAGCTGCAGTCCTTGAAAAGATAACATACTGAATGGAATGCCAGAAGATGTATTCAAAGAGACTTTCTCTAAAATGAAGGAAGAAGGGAACATGCAGAATGAAAACATATTATGTTTTTGAAAATTGTGATAAAAATCATGACACAAAAATTACTCAACATTAGGATATAGCCTAGTTGTTATTGAACTTCAAGAATAAAATAATTTTTTAGGTTTTTAGGCAGATGAAACAGGTCACATTTAAGGGTGGTAAAAAAAGAAAAAATCTGGCTAGCCTCAGACTTCTCTAAAACATTTAATTCAAGAACATAATGGAGTAATGTTTATAAAATTCTGAGAAAATGAAACTGTGACCCAGAAATATTAAGTCCAGACAAAAATGTTATTCAAGTATAAAGATAAAAGCAGACATCCTCAAACATGAAAGAATTAAAGGAATATGACATCTGTGATGAAAATTTCCAAACAACAAAATAGCAACAGCTCTTTGCCAATAAAATCCAGTCAGTTAAGAAATTATTTAAAATAGGCCGGGCACAGTGGCTCACGCCTGTAATCCCAGCACTTTGGGAGGCTGAGGTGGGCGGATCGCTTGAGGTCAGGAGTTCAAGACCAGCCTGGTCAACTTGGTGAAACCCCGTCTCTACTAAAAATACAAAAATTAGCTGGGTGTGGTGGTGGGCGCCTGTAATGCCAGCTACTCAGGTGGCTGAGGCAGGGTAATTGCTAGAACCCTGGAGGCGCAGGTTGCAGTGAGCTGAGGTTGCACCATTTCACTCCAGCCTGGGCAACAAGAGTGAAACTCCGTCTCAAAAAAAAAAAAAAAAAGAAATGGACACTGTTGTGGGTGTAGGGCTATTTTGTCAGTAGTCAGAGTACTTTGATTTCTGGCTCTACTCTGGTGCACTTAATTTCCGTAGGCTTTATGTTCTAAGATATTGACTATAACTAATGACTAATAAATTAATACAATGCATATTAGAATTGAATACAAGTTCTTGCTAAAACTTCCTAGGTGTTTCCTGTGATTATACCTAAATGTTTTTGTATATATGTATGCATGTTTGTATTTATTTACAGTTAACACACGTTTGTTTTAGAAACATGAGGGAATAACCTTGGTCGTCCTTTATTACATTACATCATGAGTCTCGTGGGCTGAAACTGTGAATCATAGCAGCCGGGTAGGTGGAGGGAGATGAGTCTGAAAAGATAAATGGGAGTCAGATCATGAAGGGCCCCACCTGCCATGCTAAGGACCCTTTACTTTATTGTGACCAAGGGCCCCCTGGTGGATTCTTCACAATGGGACTGCTGTAATAGTTGCATTTCTAAAAGATCCCATAGGTAGTAATGTGAAAAAACTGACAATGGACCCGGAGTAGATTGAAGGGGCAGGAAAGGGGTGTATCAGTTGAACGTGGAAGATGGAAAAAGAGAGGTGCTTCCGGGTGGTTTGGATTTTTGGGTGAATGGAGGTATGATTGGCTGTTTAGCATTGCAAATATGGGAAGAGATTCAGGGGGCCACAGCGAATTCCCTTTTGAACAAGTTGATATTGAGGTTCCAATGGGATATTCAAGTGTAGTTTCCTAGTAGTTGATGGTTAAGTGGGCCTGGAGCTCAAGAGAAAGGCCTGGGTTGGGCAGACAGGTCCTGAAGTGGAGGGAAAAGCCCAGAGGGAGACTGTTCAGTAGAAGAGGACTCGAGTCCTGGCAAACGCCAACTTTTAGGGCAAAATGTAGTGTTTCACAGCACAGTCTTTGGAGTTTACCTATTACTAGCAGGGTAACCTGGGGCAAGTTATTTGACTTCAGTGTCTTAATTGCAAAATGAGCACAACAGCACCTACCTGAGTTAGAAAAACATTTGCAATTTTTAGTTCCTTGAGAGATCTGTGGGCTGGAAGCAGTGGCTCACGCCTGTAATCCTAGCACTTCAGGAGGCCGAGGTGGGCAGATCACCTGAGGTTAGGAGTTCGAAACCAGCCTGACGAATATGGTGAAACCCCATCTCTACAAAAATACAAAATTAGCCAGGCGTGGTGGCACACATCTGTAATCCCAGCTACTTGGGAGGCTGGGGCAGGATAATTGCTTGAACCCGGGAGGCACAGGTTGCAGTGAGCCGAGATTGCACCATTGCACTCCAGCCTAGGCAACAAGAGTGAAACTCCCTCTCAAAAAAAAAAAATAAATAAATAAAAATAAAAAAAAAAAAATATATATATATATATGAATAAGGAGGAGTCCAAGAAGGTGCAGAGGGAACTACGAGGAGGTGGAGCTCTAGAATATATTGAGAAAAGAGGATTTCAAAGAAGCCAACGATGTAAAATCCTCCAACAGGACTGTAACATAAGTCTGTAAAGTGTCCAACTTTTAGCAGTTAGTGACCTTACCAAGGGCAATTTCTATGGAATGGGATGAGCCATACTGTAGAGGTTCGAAGAGTGAATAGGGGTCAACATGGATACATCTTTTCCTCCCCTCACCGCATTTGTCTTTCCCAGTAGACTTTTCCTTTAAAGGCAGTGACTTGTGGATATTATTCCACTGTTTTCAATCAATTCCATCCACCAGTGAGATATATTATATCAGATTATCTTTCACTCCACCGCATTTGTGCCTTGCAGTTAGTAGGCCATCAACAAAATAACTGATGATACAGGGGCTTCTACAGACTCCCCAATTCATTTGGTAAAGACCGCTCAGCATCACGGTCGAGCTCTGATTCCTTTCACGACAGCTTCGAGGAGTGTCATTCCCATCACGGCCACAAGGTGGAGGCCGCCTCCCTGCTCTGGGCCCTCAGGTCGCGACCCCGGAAGCACATCCTCCATCCTCCGCCTTCTTTCCAGCAGAAATGGCGGCAGCTGCGGCGGCTCGAGTTATGTTGTTACCCGCGGCGCGGCGGCGGCTCTGGGGTTTCAGCGAGAGTCTCTTGATCCGCGGCGCTGCGGGACGGGTGAGCTTCCCTCTGCTTGTCTGAGCGCTGCCTGGGGCCAGACCCGGTCGGGCCGGCTCTGGCCTCTCGCGGCACCCGGCGCAGCGCACCTGAGAGTCGGCGCCACAGATCCGAACAGCGGGGTCGGGCAGGGCCTCCTCGACCCGGACCCGCTGGGCGCCAGGCGGCCTGGGGCTGCTGAACTGGCCGGGGTGGCTGGCTTGTGGCTACTCGCCAGGAGACCTGCTAGTGACGTGTGGGATGACCCTGGTTTTCGGCTCCTCCCGCCAGCTACTGAGGAGTGCATGTCTGACCACTAAAAACGTAGTGCTGGCGAATTGGGGAAAACTAAAAAGTGAAATATGGTTACCGCTCCAGAGTCCTGTTTTAGCCTAAGACTGAACTTCTTCCTCAGCTGGGTTTCCCGCTAACCTGGACATCGCTGAAGTAAAATTTTGTATGTATTTGCATTTTTCTCATGAGCGAGCCTCTGACTTTCACCAAAGAGATGTAAGACTTTTGTATAAGGGCAAATAAAAACTGCTGGAAGACGAATAGTTCCTGGCCGACAAGCCAGTCAGTTGCATTTTGAACATCTGGCCCATCTTCCTATCCTCTTTTTTTTTTTTTTTTAAAAAAAAACCATTTCCAAACCCTGTTGCTTTTCTTGAACAATGAAAACCCGAGTGTCAGTTCTGTCTTGTGTGTAGGTAGTTTTACATCTTTTCTCTCCTTTTTTTTTTTTCCCTGCTTGTTTTCTCCATAATGAATATAAAACATTTCTAGGAGAGGTAGTGAAATAAAGTCAATTTCTCTCTGGGTAATGATAATAACTGCTCATCTTCCCTGAGGGAAGGGCATGTTTATAATCACGTTGCTGGCTCTAGGACAGTGGCTGGTGACACGTTTCTAGGCCAGGCAGAGATCCCAGTGGAACCAAATTCAAGAAGAAAGATTCTTTTGTAGAGAGAGCCTGTTTAACATAGATTTGGTTTTAAAGTCAACATTTAATATCAGATTGATAATGTGTTTTGCTTTGTCTCTTCCACTTCCTACCCCCAACCAGTCATTATATTTTGGAGAGAACAGATTACGAAGTACACAGGCTGCTACCCAAGTTGTTCTGAATGTTCCTGAAACAAGAGTAACATGTTTAGAAAGCGGACTCAGAGTGGCTTCGGAAGACTCTGGGCTCTCAACATGCACAGTAAGTGACTCAGGCAACCTTCTCTAAGTGACCCTTCATTTAGTGTAGCAAATTGTTGGTTTTAGTCTTTAGTTTCTTTGTTGGCTGGTGGTTCAAAAAGGGTGGCAGTTATTTTGCCTTGACAGATTTCCATGAGTTGTGAACCTTTTGTTCCAGTGATACTTAGTTACAGGGTGCATATGGATCCTGTTGCCTTGTCTGCATCTTGTTCTTGTAGCTTATTATTGATTATTTATTGTTAGTAGTATTGATAATAATGAAAGAGGTATATTTGCAGGGCTACTCTACCAGGTGTTTTTACTGATGTCTTATTTGCTAAAAAGCAATTCTTTGTAGTGGGCGTCCTCACACCTGTTTTATAGTTAAGGAAGTGAGAGAAGTTAAATGGTTTTGTTCAGGTCGCTTAGCTAATACGTGACAGAGCCAGGATTTCAACCAAAGTTTTCTGACAGTTTCTGATGTTCTTGATACTACGGTTATTAATTGGCTGGGTTAATGAGTTGGGCAAAGAATCCTCAGTGAAGGTGGCAGGTAGATATTTGTAGCACCCAGCCGTATCCTGATCAAAATTTTTAAATCTCATGGTTCATAGGAATGAACTATTAATTCACTCAGATCAAGAAAATCTTAGTGTTAAGACCAGAAAGCACTTGTCAGAAAAAGGAAGGAGACTGTTCCCCGCAACCTCAAATAAATAAAATGGATTTATTTAATTGTTCATTGATTGCATTAAGGTTGGACTCTGGATTGATGCTGGAAGTAGATATGAAAATGAGAAGAATAATGGAACAGCACACTTTCTGGAGCATATGGCTTTCAAGGCAAGTTGTAAAACTTTACAAAAATGTACTCTCTTTAAGAGATAGTAAGCACAAAGTCTCATTCTTTAGAGGCAGGGAGAGCTCTTTCAGTAGTATAACATGTTTTATGTTTTTTTTTTCCAGGACAGTATCTAAAATAAGTACTGATGATTGCTTTGTAAAGTTGAAATGAAACTTTCTCTTGGGATGCAGGAGTCATCTGAATGTATACCATTTCTGAAGCCTGATGTACCTTATTTTTTTTTTAATTTAATTTATTTTGAAATAGGATCTGGCTCTGTTGCCTAGGTTGGAGTGCAGTGACACAATCTGCTTACTGCAACCTCTACCTCCTAGGCTCAAGTCATCCTCCCACATCTACTTCTGGAGTAGCTGGGACTGTAGGTGCATGCCACCACACCCGGATAATTTATTTATATGTGTGTATGTGTGTGTGTATATATATATATGTATTTTATTTTATTTTTTGGTGGAGATGGAGTTCGCCATGTGTTGGCCAGGTTGGTCTCAATCTCCTGGGCTCAGTCAGCCTGCCTCAGCTTCCCAAAGTGCTGGGGTGACAGGTGTGAGCCATCGTACCCTACCTGATGTACTTTAGAAACCAAATTTGACTCTGCATGAAACTAACTTATTGTCCTCCGTATTCATTATCTGAAGTGTTTAGAATAGATGAAGGATAAAGGGAGGTTGCATAATTTATTTTTCTTCTTTTATTTCAAGGGCACCAAAAAGAGATCCCAGTTAGATCTGGAACTTGAGATTGAAAATATGGGTGCTCATCTCAATGCCTATACCTCCAGAGAGCAGACTGTATACTATGCCAAAGCTTTCTCTAAAGACTTGCCAAGAGGTATTGTTATTATTTATACAGCAGATAATATAATTTTCATGAGAATCAGAAATTATTTAGTACTTTTTATTATATCTGTTGTAAAAGAGTAAGTCCCAGAAATGTGAAAAAACGAAACTGAATTCTGGGTGAGGGTACAGCTGATCTTATTTTTTTTCTAAATATGACAGATAGTAAGATTATGGATGATTGTTTTTATTAATATGTAGCAATAAAATAGAGATTATTTGGTGGAAATAAAATATTTTGAGAGGACAGCAGTTTGTTACCATATTTGTAGACTGTTTTGACTCTTTTAAAAGTTATTACACAAAACATTTTCCTAGTGGAAGAAATAACAACAAAATTTAGCAGTTTTAGAGCTAATTGGTAAAATTATTATTTTTGTTTTTAGAGAGAGAGTCTCGCTCTGTCACCCAGGCTGGAGTGTAGTGGTGTGATCTGGGCTCACTGCAACCTCTGCCTCCTGGGTTCTGGGTTCAAGTGATTCTCCTGCCTCAGCCTCCTGAGTAGCTGGGATTATAGGCTCCTGCCACCATGGCCGGCTAGTTTTTGTATTTTCAGTAGAGATGGGTTTTGCCATGTTGGCCAGGCTGGTCTTAAACTCCTGACCTCAAGTGACCCAGCGCCTCGGCCTCCCAAAGTGCTGGGATTATAGGCATGAGCCACTGTGCACGGCTATTAGTGAAATTATTAACCTTTAAGGTCCTTCTGTAGTTGTAGTTACTACTTTGCAGTTTTGGATTCCTAATAGGCTTCCATTAATAATGTTTAAATGGCACTTTACACAAGTACTTTTGTGTATATATTATCCATTTGATCTGCATAGGTGTTTCTACCTTGCAGTTGTGGAAACCGAAACCCAGACTCTGACTTGCCCAAGATTGCATAGCTATCAGGTGGCTTACTGTGGACTCAAGTACATGTCTTCTTACCAGATTCATTTGCTTTGTCAAAACAATAAAATAAGAAACCTATCACCTGTAAATAACTAAAATACTTAATATGATATCCTAACTTTTGCATTAAAACAAAAATGACAGCAACTGTGGAGGGTGTGTTGGTTTGAATAACAAAACCAATGAGACAATTTTTGTCCCAGGACTAATTAGGGACCAAGAACATAGGGCTAGGCCAAGCTTCTTTAAAGAGTTGTTCATTCCAGCCTAGTTCCTTCCTTTATTTACACAGAACAGGGAAGGCAAAAAGGAGAAACAGAAAAAGTAAGGGTGAAGTTAAAAGACTTTCTTCCCTTTTCTCTTGGCATCTAGCTGGGAAGGGTAGAGCCTCTGCTAGTGGGAGTGGAGAAGCAGAGGGGCTCTCCCTGAGGAATACAAAATGGAAGTGCTCTCTGAAGCAGCTGCAACTTTGGGGATTTACTTGGGGTTTTTATGCCCTCACCCTGGGTAAAGCAGCTCCAACTTTGGGGATTTACTGGGGGTTTTTCACCCTTCACCCTGGGTGAAGTCTGGTATATGAGGTAATAATTAGACATTTAGATAATGGTCTCCAGGTTTTTATGATCACTTATTTTTTTAAATTATTATTATACTTTAAGTTCTAGGGTACATGTGCACACATGCAAGTTTGTTACATATGTATACATGTGCCATGTTGGTGTGCTGTACCCGTTAACTCATCATTTACATTAGGTATATCTCCTAATGCTATCCCTCCCTGCTCCCACATCCTACGACAGGCCCTGGTGTGTGATGTTCCCACCCTGTATCCAAGTGTTCTCATTGTTCAATTCCCACCTATGAGTGAGAACATGGGGTGTTTGGTTTTCTGTCCTTGCAATAGTTTGCTCAGAATGATGGTTTCCAGCTTCACCCATGTCCCTACAAATGACATGAACTCATCTTTTTTTATGGCTGCATAGTATTCCATGGTGTATATGTGCCACATTTTCTTAATCCAGTCTGTCATTGATGGACATTTGGGTTGGTTCCAAGTCTTTGCTATTGTGAATAGTGCCGCAATAAACATACGTGTGCATGATGATCACTTATTGTTAAGAAAGTTGATCATATATCCTTGATGTATGTATACTTGTAAGTTAAATACATGTGCTATTATACTAACGTATATATACATTTAAAAAAAAAGATTCAGATTAAAACAGACTGGGAAATAGGAGCCCCCCTCCCCGCCTTTGGAAACTACCAGTGTAGACCACCCATCCCACATAACGGAGGATTTTCTCACAGAATTCTTGTCCTTCCATTTGTCTATGGGCTCTTTCTCACCCATTTTACTAGACTCCGGTTCTCTCATCTGGGCAGATGGGTTTTATTTGGTTTTACACATAATTTTTTCCTTTTGGTCATGATCTCAGCCACAGCTTGCTATAATAGTCTGTTTTGTCATGTTCTTAGTATTTGGACATAATCACTTCTGAGACAGTGCCCCTTAAAGTGAACTGAATTAAAACAAGGAACAAAAGTTTATAGTAGAGTAAGAAATGAAACCTAAATCGGACACGGTAGTGCATGCCGTTAGTCCTGGCTACTTGGAGGAAGCTGAGGCAGGAGGATTGTTTGAGCTCAGGAATTTGAGTCCAGTCTGGGCAGCATAATGAGACCTTGTCTCTTAGGGGAAAAAAAGAAACTTAAGATTGTAAATTTATTTAATAACATTAATTGTATTAATGAAATTTACATTTATGATTGCAACTATGTACTAATACTTCAAGAATGAAGGACAGTTTTTTTTTGGAGAGGTATGCACTTTTTTGATAAAATTGCTTAATGGCCTAATATGACATATTCCACTTCACTTTTCGCTTTTTGCAAATTCGGGTTTGAGAACACACAATTCTGTGATTCATTTGGGGCATATTTTAGATTATAAGGATTCTTTTCTCTGTTGCCCAGGCGGGAGTGCAGTGGCGCAATCGCAGCTCACTGCACCCTTTGCCTCCCGAGCTCAAGCCATCCTCCCATCTCAGCCTTCCGGGTAGCAGGGACTACAGGCACATGCCACCACGCCCAGCTAATTTTTGTATTTTTTGTAGAGACAGGATTTTGGCATGTTGCCCAGGTTTGTCTCGAACTCCTGGGCTGAAGCCCATCTTAGCCTCCCAAAGTGCTGGGATTATATAGGCGTTAGCCACCGTGCCTGGTCAGTTCTTTGCTTCTTAACATAGCACTCTCATTGCTGTGGGAACTTGCATAGTAAATACTTGGATGATGTGAACCCTCAGTATATTCCTAGCTAGGTATTTTCAGACTAATATATATAACTTTGTAATTTTCATATAGAACAGTCTATATTAATATGCAAATTTCCATAGCATTTTTGAAGTAGGTAGAGTCATTTCAAGGTGATGGCAAATTTATAGTTTTTCCCCAAGGAAAATCTTTTGTACTATAGGGGTTTATATGTTAAATTTTAATTTTGTCCTGTTAAGTATATCTGATGTTTTTCTCCCAGGCTAATCATTTAGTATTGAGTGATGGGTCAGTGTCATGATTTCTGATTTTGGTTTAATAGATTTTAATAGTGAAAGTTAAGATTGCTGGTGCTTTTTCTTATATTTTATTTTCAATTAGCTGTAGAAATTCTTGCTGATATAATACAAAACAGCACATTGGGAGAAGCAGAGATTGAACGTGAGCGTGGAGTAATCCTTAGAGAGATGCAGGAAGTTGAAACCAATTTACAAGAAGTTGTTTTTGATTATCTTCATGCCACAGCTTATCAAAATACTGCACTTGGACGGACAATTTTGGGACCAACAGAAAATATCAAGTAGGTATAACTCTCAGAATTTCTTGGTGGGTAAGGGAATTTATGAATTTTGAAAATTAACATTTACAAACTTTCAAAAAGTATGTTTCAAAAAGTCATTTTCCTCCTGGTAATCTAAGTGAAATTGTAGTTAGCTACATTTTGGTCCCACCTAGCTCCCAAGCATGTGAGTTCATAGGTACTTCGGAGTAAACCAGTAATGGTGTCAAATCTTTTTTCCTTGATGTAAAAAAGTCGAAGTTCTTTGATGTGTTGTCTATATCCTATTTCTGCCTGCATTTTAGGATACGGTTATGGTCCAATTTGATTTCAGGTATATTATGTGAAGATCTGTTTTTTTTTTTTTTTTGGTTTCCTTTAAAAATGGTTTTACTTCATTTACAGATCTATAAGTCGTAAGGACTTAGTGGATTATATAACCACACATTATAAGGGACCAAGAATAGTGCTTGCTGCTGCTGGAGGTTAGTCAATTTCAATTTCTACAAATGTTTTAAACACAGTTATTGGAGTGGTATGCTTATTTGATACTGTTGGGAGATAGCCTAAGAATTTTCATTTACATAGCAAGTAACTGTATTTGATACTGTGTAAGGGGAATGTGGAGCACTGGAACCAGACTTTCTCTCTATTTTTTTTAAAGTAGGTTTCATTTAGGCTGGGCGTGGTGGCTCACTCCTGTAACCCCAGCACTTTGGGAGGCCGAGGCGGGCGGATCACGAGGTCAGGAGTTCAAGACCAGCCTGACTAATATGGTGAAACCCTGTCTATACTAAAAATAGAAAAATTAGCCGGGCATGGTGGCGGGTGCCTGTAGTCCCAGCTACTCAGGAGGCTGAGGTAGGAGAATCACTTGAACCCGGGAGGCGGAGGTTACAGTGAGCCAAGATTGCACCACTGCACTCAGAGTAAGACTGTCTCAAAAAAAAAAAAAAAAAAATGTAGGTTTTATTTCTAGAAAGACTTAATGAACTGTTTAATACATAAGTGTACATAGTAGAATGTGCAAGAAAAGGGCAAAGGAGTGAACTGGGAGAGAGTCGGAAGATAGCATTCTGTACTTTGAGAATTTCTTGAGATTTTAAATTATTTCTTGAGAACCAACTTCGTCCTTGTTCAAGCATGGAATGGGTATGTTAATTCTTTGATTTGTTCAATTATTCATTTAATAGATCTAATTTTTGGGAAGGAGAAGCACATAGGGAGCCATGAGAATGCTGAGTGGGAATCCAAACATGCAGGTGACTTTAGAAGGTTTCCTTGAGGTCATGTTTGAAGCCAATGAATGAAAAAAAAAAAAAAATTCACAGCAGATATTGCCAGATTTCCTGGCAGTCTGAATCTAGGCAACAGTACATTTTAATTGGTTTCCAGTTTTTTTTCTTTTAAAAATATATTTATAGAAGTAGAGATGGATTCTTAACTATGTTGCCCAGGCTGATTTCGAACTCTTGAGCTCAAGTGATCCTTCCACCTTGGCCTCCCAAAGCTTGGGGATTACAGGCGTGAGCCACTGCACCTGGTCTCCAGTTTTCATTTCTTTGTATTTTTTAATATTAGAGCAAAGTGAAGTGTTGTTTCATGTTGTAAATTTTTCTCTTTTTAGAAATTGTAATTTAAAAATTCTAGTTGCTCCGGATTGATTTCTGAGCTAATTACCTGGGGGGTAATGAAGAAGATGAAAACATTAAATATCAAGCATGTTATTCATTGTAGTGCCTAGCTAAAAATCATGTTACTTTCATTGTACATGGCAGGAAGTGCACTCTGAAATTCTCTTGAGTAACACTGTTTCTAAATTGGCTCTTGCAGACTTGGGCTTAAGTGTTTGAAACTGTCTTGGAAATGGGACAAGATACTTGTTAGATGGGTCCTCAACAACAAAGCTTTCTGGAACCTCTCTGCCATTGTTGGTGGCATATGGACAAAATAAGTTTTTTGTTTTACTTTGGTTTATGGGTTCATTTTGACAAAGTTGAGATATCTTTAGTTTAATGCTTATAAATTAGTATTCATTTTAAATACTATATAAGTGATGTGCCTTACAAATGATTGCATCTTAAATTCAATTAAATAGGCCAGTTTTAAGTTTCTGCTGACCTCTGAATTATGTCTTGGCTACCATTTAGCTCTTCTAGGTTAATCTTCAGAATGTATAGCTTTTATTTGCCAAATAGTTTTTTGTATCCTAGCTTCATTTATTATAAAATTATAATTTAACATTTTAATTATACATTAAGTTAAAGAATCTTAATTTGGGTCTCAAGTTCAGATAGTAAGAGATATAGAGTCTTAAGAAATTCCTAAGCTTTTGCATTTGGATACCTATTAATGTATTCAGAAATAATTTAGATGACACTATTTTGTTCCTGAGTTTTTTTTTTTTTGAGACGGAGTTTCGCTCTTGTTGGCCAGGCTGGAGTGCAATGGCGTCATCTTGGCTCACTGCAAACTCTGCCTTCCGGATTCAAGCGATTCTCCTGCTTTAGCCTCCCGAGTAGCTGGGATTACAGGCATGCATCACTACACCTGACTAATTTTGTTTTAGTAGAGATGGGGTTTCTCCATGTTGGTCAGGCTGGTCTACCTCCGACCTCAGGTGATCCGCCTGCCGCGGCTTCCCAAAGCGCTGGGATTATGGGCATGAGCCACCGCGCCGGGCCCTGTTCCTGAGTTCTGATAGGAGAGCGCAGAGAATATAGTATATCTGTGTATCCCGCTTTCTTTTATTTATTTAATTTTATTTATTTTAGACACAGAGTCTTGCTCTGTCACCCAAGTTGGAGTGCAGTGGTGTCATCTCAGCTCACTGCAACCTCTGTCTCCTGGGTTCAAGCAATTCTCCTGCCTCAGCCTCCTGAATAGCTGGGATTATTACAGGTGCCTGCTACCATGCCCAGCTAGTTTTTGTATTTTTAGTAGAGACAGGGTTTTACCATATTGGCCAGGCTGGTCTTGAACTCCTGATCTCAAGTGACCTGCCCACTTTGGCTTCCCAAAGTGCTGGGATTACAGGTGTGAGCCACGGCACCCAGCTTTTAAAATTTATTTTATTGAGACAGGAGTCTTACTATGTTCTTGCTATGTCCAGGCTGGTCTTGAACTCCTGAACTCAAATGATCCTCCCACCTCAGCCTTCTAAAGTACTGGGATTATAGGCATGAGCCACCATGCCCAGCTCCAGCTTTTTAAAAATTAGATAGAGCTCATATTTGTATTTTCCACTAAAAAAATTTTTTTTTTTTTTTTGCAAATTGGAAAATTGGCATTTTTTTTTTGCTAGTTTGGATCCCAGAAATTTTTATAATAGAACATGATTTTGTAAAAAGTGGAGTTTTCAAGTTGTTTTATTCTTAGCTGTGAATCCATTGGTCTGTTGATGAAAACTGTCATTTGCTCTACAAAATGAGAAAGCTGTGCAACCTCAAGCTTTGCAATGCCAAGGAAATAGGTGTGCTATGTGAGCTTACTCTTAAATAATGGCTTTTAGTGAGTGTAGATACTTCATGTGTAATGTACATCACATTATATCACCTAGGGATTTTTGTAAACTATATTGCTGCTAGATACATGTGAAAATATTTTCTTTCAATTTAGGTGTTTCCCATGATGAACTGCTTGACTTAGCAAAGTTTCATTTTGGTGACTCTTTATGCGCACACAAAGGAGAAATACCAGCTCTGCCTCCCTGCACATTCACAGGAAGTGAGGTAGGGCAAGCCTCCCAGCTAGTATTTAGCCTTTTGGATTCCTTGTGTTGTATTTACACATAAGTAAACAAAATATACTATTTCCAGTAGGAATAAAATGGAATAAAAGGCTTACACTGAAATACAGAAAAAGGGAAGAGGATGTACTCATTTGCTTAAGATTCCTTCCTCTTCTGTATTGTTTAACCACCTGTTTTTCTTTCCTAAGGAAGCAAGGTTTTTTTTGTTTTGTTTTTAAGTTTCTCCATTCTAGTCTGAAAGGAAGCAGAGTTTTAAGAGCAGTTTATAATTTGGTCTTTTTGTGCTTTTTCTTTGGCACTGTGCAAATTTATATATTGTAATATCTGGAAGTAATCTTTTAAACCCCATATTTTGACTTTCACTTCAGGTTTACTCTTGGCTCAGTTTTGCCCACAGTATGTTTTGGGAGGGGGTAGTAACTGTTAGAGCCAGAACTTGCAGGGAATCTACTAGTTATCAACTAGCTTTAAGCCTCTTTAGGGGCTTAGTTTGCCATGTTAAGAATGATGCTCAACGTAGTATCTGGAAAATGCCCTGATATTGGCAGCTGCCTGGAACTGTAGCATTGGCAGTACAGAAATAAACTTGTAACGTCAATATGACATTTCGATAGAAAAGTTCAGATTGAGGCTGGGCGTGATGGCTCATGCCTGTAATCCCAGCACTTGGAGGGCTGAGGCAAGTGTGTCACTTGAGGTTAGGATTTTGAGACCAGCCTCACTAACATGGTGAAACTCTGTCTCTACTAAAAATACAACAATTAGCTGGGTGTGGTGGTGGTGCATGCCTGTAATCCAGCTACTTGGGAGGCAGAAGTTGCAGTTAGCCGAGATGGCGCCACTGCACTCCAGCCTGCGCGACAGAGTCTCAAAAAAATAAAAAGAAAAATTCAGATTGACAAACACAAAAGATTAATTTCTACCAGTGAAATGATGCAACCCTTTTTGACCTGGTAAACCACGTGGTGGCCGTCTGTAGTAAAATGCGTTGGGAAAAGTAATTTTTCCTTAACCCATGAAATTTCTTCTAGGCTAAACTATACAATGTAATGAGGCCTGATAGTTAAAAAATCAAGAGAGAGTCCTGGTGTGCATTTTAACTTTGCAATTAATGGGACTGGTGATTTTTTCTTGTTAATAAGCATGTTATATAATGTTAATCTTAACTAGAGGTCCTCCTGCTTTATCTGAACTAGATTCGTGTGAGGGATGACAAGATGCCTTTGGCGCACCTTGCAATAGCTGTTGAAGCTGTTGGTTGGGCACATCCAGATACAATCTGTCTCATGGTTGCAAACACGCTGATTGGCAACTGGGATCGCTCTTTTGGAGGAGGAATGGTAAGTGATTTTAAAAGAAATTTTCCGTAACAGATGGAAGATTATCATGTTTTCTTAAATACAAGTTCTTTGTAAGAATCCTTTTTTGAAGTCGCAAAATAGAGCCTTGTACTGTGAGTTATATAAACTGATCCTAGTTTGCATGTGGGCCAGAAAAAAACATTTTCTTTTTTTCTTTGCCACAAAGTTTATTACTGACAAAATTTGAATAAGGACAGAAAAATTAGCTAGAAGTGTACTATATCAATGTTAATATCCTAATTTTAATGGTCAGTAGGCCTTCTATATCTGTGGGTTCCATATTCATGGATTCAACCAACCATAGGTGGAAAATTTGGGGGAACAAATGGATGGTTTCATCTGTACTAAACATGTATGGACTTTTTTTTGGTCACTTCCCATATAGTATAACAACTATGTACATAGCATTTACATGGATTGGGTATTTAGAGATGATTTAAAGTATATAGGACAATCTGCTTATATGCAAATACTATATACACCATAGTACATGAGGGCTCTAGCATCTGTGGATTTTGGTATCCACAGGGATCTGGGAACCAGTTCTCCACAGATACTGAGGAGCTATACCGAGGTGATGTAAGAAAATTAGTTTCCTTGTTTTTCACAAGTACATACTAAAGTACTTGGGGCAAGAAGCATCACATCTAAAACTCAAAACAGTTGAAAAAACTTGTATAAAGAGAATAAAGCAAACATGGTAAAATAACAGGGAATTTGGATAAAGGGAATTCTCTGTACTGTTTTTGCAACTTTTTTGTAAGTTGGAATTATTGCAAAACACAGTGTATAGATTTGTCTTTACTAATAGATTTCTCCAAAATACATTTCATCTAAATATCTTAAGCTTTGTATGCAATGTAACTTTGAATCTAAGCGTATGTAACCAAGAGCCCTAAAAATTGGGTTGATAATAGCAGTCTAGTTTTAGAAGTAGGTATAACTACTACATTAATTATAAGGATTCATTGCTTTTATAACATGAATTTCTCCAGGGGGTGCACTGGATTAATAAGCACAATTGTTAGTCATACTGAATTTTAACTGTACTACTGAGATGTTGAATAAAAAACTAGGAAATTTGCCTCTAAGGATATTCACTGTTTTCCACACACTCCATTTTCCTTTCTGTATTTTGGACATGTGTACTTAAAATTCTCTTGGAATTTTTTTTTTCCTTACAGAATTTATCTAGCAAGCTGGCCCAGCTCACTTGTCATGGCAATCTTTGCCATAGCTTTCAGTCTTTCAACACTTCCTACACAGATACAGGATTATGGGGACTGTATATGGTTTGTGAACCAGCCACTGTTGCAGACATGCTACATGTTGTTCAGAAAGAATGGTGAGAATTTAAGTAATTTAAATTTTGCCTTTAATTCGTTTTAGACTAGTTTTTTCTGTATACTTCATGGTGATTTATGGTAATTTTACCTTTTAGTTAAGAGACCTAGATAAACAGTAGTTGCCATGTTTTTAAAGGTTTCTGATATTTTTTCCTAAGTCTCAAGATGTGAAGCTGATTTATACTATAGGACTTTTTTTTTTTTTTTTTTTGAGATGGGGTGTTGCTCTGTTGCCAGGCTGGAGTGTAGTTGCACTATCTCGGCTCACTGCAGCCTCTGCCTCCTAGGTTCAAGCAATTCTCCCACCTGAGTCTCCCGAGTAGCTGGGATTACAGGTGTACCACTATGCCCGGCTAATTTCTTGTATTTTTAGTAGAGACAGGGTTTCATCATGTTGGCCAGGCTGGTCCTGAACTCCTGACCTCAGGTGATCCACCCTCCTCAGCCTCCCAAAGTGCTGGGATTACAGGCATGAGCCACCGTACCCGGCTGAAAGTTTTAATCTTTCAGAAGCAGGTTAACTCAGAAAGATGATCCTAAAAGTTTAAAAGCCAACTAGAAGTTGTTTGGAAAATATCTTTGAAAGTAATCTGGTTGAAAGGAAAGTAAATCTGAAGTTGCCACTGCTAAAAGAAAACAATCAAAGTATATTGAGTCAGTAGATGGGCAGAAAGGCTCACAGCTTCTTGGAAAACATTTAGCTCTGGTTCCTTTCCTCCACTATTCTTAAATTGGCTTACATCTTTCTAAATCTAGTCAACTAGGATGTAATTATTAAGTTAAAAATTAGGTTTAAGTTAAGATTTTCATTGTTTTTAGAAACCAATGAATGACCCACTGACTTAACCCATAGCATATCAGACCCCAAGAGATGGGGACTCATGAAGTCTCAAGATGCTTATAGCATTTCTGAAAATGTCATTAGCCCATTTGTATTAAACCTTTGTGTGCTAATGAGTAATTAGACATGTTTATCATTTTTGAGAAATTAATTCTGGGGAAAATAATCATTTTAGCTTTTGCTTAGATTAGAATTAAATCATAATCACCTGTATGTTATGTGTAGACTACGGCATCATCATTCTTAGGTCATTAACTCATGAAATACAACATTTTCCAACTGCTTAATACTGTTTTTCCAAATGTTTTTTAGGATGCGGCTCTGTACAAGTGTCACCGAAAGTGAAGTCGCACGAGCCAAAAATCTCCTGAAAACAAACATGTTGTTGCAGCTTGATGGTAAAAATATAAGACATAGCTTCTATTTTCATATGGTTGATCTATATTCCAATACTTAATTTTTCCTTCTCTTTAAACAGGTTCAACTCCAATTTGTGAAGATATTGGTAGGCAAATGTTATGCTATAATAGAAGGATTCCCATCCCTGAGCTTGAAGCAAGAATTGATGTAAGTAGTCCTGAGTTATTACTGGGTCATGTTTAAAAAGATCCTTGTTACAAAAGCTGAGAATATTTATCTTTCATCTTGTTTTAGTTTTAAAAAGTTCCAGGTATAGACGTTGTCTTTACTACAAAAAGCTGAATGACAGTGTCTTCAATATTTCAGGCTGTGAATGCTGAGACAATTCGAGAAGTATGTACCAAATATATTTATAATAGGAGTCCAGCTATTGCTGCTGTTGGTAAGCCTGGCTTCTTTTCTTCTATGCAAAAAGTTGGCCAAGTACTTTTAATTAACTGTCTTCTTTTTAATCCTTAGGTCCCATTGAGCAACTACCAGATTTTAAACAGGTTTGCAGTAACATGTGTTGGCTTCGTGGTTAAAATGCTCGTTATCAAGGTTATTTGAACACATGTATTTATAAAACTGAGATCTAGAAAAAAATAAAAATGAACATGTATATACATTTGAATGAAAACATGTATATACATCTGGAAATTTGAATGAAATACTGTATCATACTTTCAAAGGATAAAAAGACTACCCCTCTGAAGGTTGTTTTGTATTAATGGTCAATCTTTGTTCTCTGAGAAATTATGTTGCAAGCAGCATACTTTCAAATTACTACCATAAGTATAATTTTAAGAATGAAAATGTTTACAGTATTTTCAGTTTTATTATAAAAATGCACATACAACAAAGATTGTCATTAAGTCATTTCTTGGCTCTGCTTGCATTCAGCACTTGTTCTTGAGCAGCTTTCTTTGCTTTTACCATCTCGACAAGTTCCTAGGAAGGGAGAAAGGAAGTTGTCAGAATTTAAAAACAGACATTTTAATCTAGTGTTTGGTATAAAGAATTCAAACAACTAAGACAGTACTAAGTATACCAATTTCACTGCCTGCCAGGGCCTAGAAAGTTTCTAAAGTTGCTCATTTATTCCTAATAATATTGGCCCTATAACTACTGGTGTTGAAATAAGCACTATATTATTAACCACTTAATATAAAATGTGAGCTATATAACCCACGTAAAATTTAAAATACAACAATCTATAAACTCTTAAGTCTGCAACCTTATATCGTTTCATGCAGTCCTTCTTTGTCCTGCCAGGCACTGCTTCTGCTATTTTTTCCCATCTTTCAGGTGTATTTACTGGGTATGTTTTCAAAGCTTGTTCCAAAAGCTTCTGTTCTTCTGTTGTCCAAGGGGTGAAGTCCGTATATGGACCTGTTTAAGAAAAATTTTTATTTGAAAACTGTCTTGTTCAGAACATGTTCCCAGACAAGTCTTGTGGTCCACAAGTGTCCGCTAAGTGCCCATTTCAGTCTAGGATGTGTCATTTTGAAATAAACTTACAGAGATGAGAGATACATATATCCCTCTGAGTGTTAAGAAGAGAAAAAACTTTAGATGACTCCCATCCCAGAAAATAAAATCTCAAAGGCTTTTTAAAACACAAGAGTAAAGATCTGCCTTGTACTGTTTATCTCTTATAAATCAATGTAATATACCCACTAGACTGGAAAAAAGCCATATTTAAATTTATAGTACTGTTGGACTCTCGGGCTCAAAAACACAACCACAATTCATTGAGAGTTCTGATAAATCTACTTCCTTACAGGATAGGTAAAAGAGCTTCCTCACAGTTAAACTTTTGCTGGATAGAAACCCTGGAAACCATTTTTGTTTTACACTGAAGGAAACAAACCTAGCAAAATTAAGCCAAGTGCCCAAGGTACCAGTGCCGAAGAGGCAAGCTGAGATTAGATTGTGTTGTAGTGTGGTGTTCTCTTCACCACATCTGCTAAAATCTTGGGAGCCAATGCTGAACATTTCCAATAACTGCTATTGTGGTTTTTCAACTAAACCTTTAATATTTCAGAAAACATCTAAGATGTGTGTCAGAAACAAATGTATTTCTTAAGGATGTTAAGTATTACACAGTCCACTTGTGTAGGTAAAAGGAGAATGTTAAGTGGCAGAGAGCTGATTTGGTTAAGTCAATGGACTTCTGGCAATTTAGTTATTTCAGACTATGCAGTGACAACACAGACTTAATATTACCAGTACCCTGACTACTACTTGAAACTGCATCCTGTGAGATCTGTCACAAAGTTAAGCCTAGAAACCAAAGTTCCTTTCCAATTAAAGAAGGAAAAAAAAAAACCCCACCACCTATTCAAAACAAAGCAGAGAATTTGTATAATATTTGAAGGTACCTAAGGTACATAAGAAGCTTTTTTGAAGGTAACTTTTAAGTTCTAGGAAGTCTTGTTGAATTTCCTTATATTGGTTTAAAGCCCTGAATACCACAGATTTTATATCCTCTCTTGGAAAAAAGATGGAAGTGACATGGCAGTATTTCCTGCTGTTTTCCAGTTACTTCACAATACCAAAATAAATTAAATGTACTGTTGCAAAATTCCTATGAGAAATCACTATTCAAAAAATGGTGCCAGGTTGATGTTTAATGGTACAACTGAAGAGGAAGGAGTCTTCCCATTTCCATAAAAGAGGCAAAGATGCTAAAAGACAAAGGACTACTGTCAGTCACTCTTGCCTTCACAGGGTCACCTCTCCTCGCAGCAGACTGGACAAGTATCAGGGCCTACTTCCCTCCAACATGGAAACAAGTCCCCTAAGAGCTGAGACTAGTGTGCTAATATCTGTTGTATGGTATTTTGTGCAGATAAAGGCACAGGAGAATAAACCCCTTTAGAAGTGTCCTTCAGGTGTTCTGAAACCCTGCCTTGTTACTTACCTTTATTAAAAGAACTGAAATAATGCCTAACTCAGCCAAACAAGTTACCCCTGATTTTTGCAAACAGTGATCTTCCTCCCCTATATAACACTGAGTCTCATATCTTTAAGTTGAAATTTTGGGATAATAAACAAGATTAAGAAGATAGGTAAAACCGGGACTCTTAGAAGAAAGAAACAGCTTATCATGTATAGTCAAGTCTATTAATCCAAAAGCATCTTTCTGCGATTAGTTTAAGAAAGGACTGGTGGCTCACAGAACATCAAGTGAAAGAACTTCTTTCACATAAACTGCTTTCAAACTCATAGCAAGAAAAAAATTTTTATCACATCCCCAGACACGAAGACACACATGAACAAGAGTTTCATTACAGTATACCCACCTATATAATGGGTGTCACACTCACTAATTTTCTATTCAAGACACACTAAATTGACTTCATGACCCAGTGATGGGTCATGATTTGTAGTATGAAAAGCACTGGTCTAGGGTAATCAAATTAGAACACCCAATATCAAACCCTAACAGGGTTTTTTTTTTTTTTTTTGAGAGGCTTACTATGTTTCCCAGGCTCGTTTTGAACCCTAACAATTTTTAACTTTATTTTGAAATAATTTTAGAGGAGTAGAAAGAATTGTATATTCTGCCTGCATTCCCCAAATGTGAACATTTTCATGTTTGCTAATTCTTTTTCTCTATATGTACAGACATACTTTGCTCTAAACCATAAGTTACAGACATGATGCCTCTTTATTCCTAAATACTTTGTGTTTTTCCTTAAACATAAGGACATTTTCTTATATAATTACAGTACATTTCTCAAAATCGAGCAATTATCCCGATAAAATACTATTCTTTTGTCCCAATAATATCCTCTAACACTGATTTGTAAAACCTGGTAAGAAAAACAAACACAGCCCCCTTCTCTAATGGCATCTGAAATGCAAGAACTGTAATTCTCCATTTTTAATGGTGAGGTGAAGTAAATCTTTGCCCTGGAAATGTTTGCTTACAGCTTCCAGTCTGCTAAACATTTTATTTCCCTATCATTCTGAACATAAACCCTAAGTCTTGTATATCCAAGCAGCACAGATACATGGCTAGCATTTTCTACTTTTAGAAAAGCAAAATTTACCTTCAAATCGTTCTGAAGGTGCTGCGTTGTCTGCTTGAGGTACCACTCCATGTTCTTTTTTAAACTTATCAAATGCCTTTTTATTTATGTCATCTTTTTGATGAGGGTCTGAGAAATGAAAAACTTTTAATACTTAACAGATCATCTCATTTAATCTTTCATTAAATTGCATAAGTTATTTTAAAAATAGGTGTTTAAAGTAACAAATGGACTTCTCAAAACTCACCAAGTTTTTGGAGACTCTTTGCTTTGCCAATAACATCTTTGGCAGTTCTTTTGACTCCAGAGGAAGAATGTATGTTCATGTAATTAGCAATAACTTCCCATCTGATAGGATATATTATACCAATAATATAATTTAATAGTATTAAGGAAAAACAAAACAACAAATACCATTAGATTTTTACTGCAGAAAGGTTATAGTGTAGAATGAGCTCAAATTGGTAGTCTAATGATGCTGCTACTATAAATTCCTGTTGCCTGGACTAGGGTTTTTGCTTTTCATATGTTTAAATCAACTATATAATCTTGGTTTTAAGTCCATACATCTTACATATTCTGTGTACAAATCAACATAAATAAAACCACTTATTTGTGTATACTGCCACTTTAACACATTTCTTCAGAAGATCCATCATTCTGAAAACAGCCTCAGTTTCATCTATAGAATTAGGGATGCTGGGTCCCTAGGGCTTTCTTGGGAGTTAAAATCAAGCTCCAGGCTTGAGGTGGGAAGAAACAAACAGCAAGACTGTAAAAGAAAAACTACAGAAAACCTAGTCCCCAGCACAAGCCATGACAGAGTAGGCCAACATAAGTCAAGATTTGTCTCATGATCTTCAATTTCCTAAGAAACTGAAGCATTTTGTCCTATGTGTGCATGTGTACTGGTGTAATGGGTAAGACTGACAGCTTCAAAATGTACCTTTTTCACACTTCTGCTGTGGCACAGAATTTATCTCTGCAAGTTTCTGTGATAACAAGTGCTGCTATTTGGAGTCTGTCTACATTATCTCCAGGCTCCAGTGTGAGTTGAAGAAAAGTTTCATTAAAACCAGTACCTTGAATTTGTTCCAGCAGGGAACAGATTCACAGCTTTAATTAGTAATTGTAAATCATCTTCTGACCAATTTTTACTTCCATTTCCACCTCCACCAGTTGATTTTTCTGTGTTCTTAGATGCTTGTCGCATACGAGCCTCAGCTTCTTCTTTCTCTTTTCTGATTTGCTCATTTATTTCTTCTATCTGCATAAATATCGTAAGTCAGGAACTTAAAAGTATATTGCTATTCTACACTCTCTTCCTGGCTAGGGCTTTGTGATCCTCAACTCTTAATGTCATTCTCACTCTGACCCCATACTCCTCTCCAAGGCCAACCCAAAAACAAGCACCAGCTTTTCACTCTGGCTTTTCCTGCTCTGGCTTCCAGTCTGCATAGGTCTGCCTGAGGGACCAAGAACTGCCCACAGCCTGCCTGATCTTCCCAGTACTCACGTCACGTGTCTTCCATTAGCCTTGGACACTAATTGACAAGTCTGTGGTTCACTGAGTTATTCATCCACAAGGCCATTTCATACCTCTCTTTAAACTCATTCACCCTTTCTGCAGCACCCTTTCTGCAGACAATCTCATTTATTCTCTACAAAAGGTGAAGGCATAGCAAAATGGCCTCTGTTTTATTTTCAAGTTGTACCATTTACATTGTTCCTTCTAGTCTACCTTCAAACATGCACAAGTAAAAAAAGAAAACCTTTATTTGCCTTGTTGCTTCTGTCAGCTGCTATCTTAGAGTCATCTTTGGCTCATTTCTCCCCTTCAATTCCTTAGAACCAGTAAAGTCTCAATAATGCTAACTTTGAAAAGTTTTTTGATTCCCATCATTCGCGTTCATAGTGTAGGTTCTTTTTCTTTTCTTTTCTTTTTTTTTTTTGAGATGGAGTCTCACTCTGTTACCCAGGCTGTGAGTGCAAGTGGGGTGGTTCGGCTCACTGCAACCTCTGCCTTCCCAGGTCAATGTGATCTCCTGCCTCCAGCCTCCCCAAGTAGCTGGGATTACAGGTGCCTGCCACCATGCCCAACTCAATTTTCTATTTTTAGTAGAGATGGGGTTTCCCCACGTTGGCCAGGCTACTCTTGAACTCCTGACCTCAGGGGATCTGCCTGCCTTGGCCTCCCAAAGTGCTGGGATTACAGGCATGAGCTACCATGCCCAGCTCATAGTGCAGGTTCTTAAAGTAAGATTCTCACAACTAGTCACATCTATCTGATGCACCTTATCCACAAACGTCAGATTAGTAGTACAATGTTGAACCTTCTGTTAATCAAAGATTTGCAGTAATGGAAACTAGTCAACAAGGTATTAAAAACCTGATAACTGGTTCTACTTTTTCTAACTGATTGTGTTTCCCACTCCTTTTCCCCATAATGTTCTACCTTTTCTTTTTTTTTTTTTTTTTGGTCTGTTTTTTTGAGACAAAGTCTCGCTCTGTTGCCCAGGCTGGAGTGCACCAATGTGATCATAGCTCACTGGAGCTGTGGCCTCCCAGGCTCAGGTAATCCTCTAACCTGAGCCTCCTGAGAAGCTGGGACATGACACCATGCCAGTTAATTTTTGTATTTTCAGTAGAGATTTTGTTCATGTTGCCCAGGCTGAACCATACTTTATACTTCTATTTCTATTTGATAGTTTGTGGTATTCTTCTGACCTTCATTTTAACTCTATCCTTCCTTTCAGGCTGGTTCAAACTCTACACCAAGCCTTCCCTGGCCACTAAACTTGTGGCCTTTCCTATCCTACACAACATTTACTATGGGCTCTCCATCTTTTGGTCCTTAAGGTTCTTCTCAGCCTAAGTCCTTTGTGGTGCAATAGCATTAGGCATTTCTCCAAAAGAACCTAGGCATAGTGTTATATATAGTAGGTACTAATACTTGTTGAACTGAATTGAATTTCTGGGCCTGTTTTCTTATCTGTAAAATAAAAGGTATAGACTAGACAGAACAAAGATCTCTTTTGGTTCTAAATGTTATTACCCTATGAAAATACTCAAGGAATAATCAAAACAATTATTTTCTTCTAATGATGATTTTGCAAAAGCTATGATTGTGATAGATATCACAATTCAAACACTAAGCATGGTAAAAACCATACACATTAAATCCAACTTAAATCAACAACAGCACTTACTACATAAACAAAACACAGGCTGGGCGTGGTGGCTCATGCCTATAATCCTTTGGGAGGCCGATGCGGATGAATCACCTGAGGT